TGAATTAGTCAGTACACGTATGTTGAGTCCACAGTAACTTAGGTTGTTCAAGCCCTAAGCGTAGATGTCCCAAGGCTTACCAAGAGGTGGGGTAAATGGATAAGTTTTAAAATTTTAAACCCTCTTTAATAATAAAGTTGAACCGAAAAGCAACATTTCTTTTTAAAGTTGAGTAGAAAAATGTCTTTTCAACCACAGAGTTGTTTAAAGAAATTTAAAGTGCGGAAACGTAAAAGCTATAAATAAATGACACCAGACCTTTATAGTGGTACTTCGTCTATTAAGCACAGAACCCTACATCCACTCCTCATAGGAGCACCCTCACTGAAGCATATTGCACTAATACAAATAGTGACTCTCTCTTTTTGCCCACCCACCAGCAAGGCGGATGTAAGCCCTTACAACACCCTCAATTTTTCACACTCCCCGGTAATTGCGGTATGAGAACCGTCCGTCCCTTTTACACAAAACTCAGTGTTAGGCAGAGACACACGCTCGTCTATTTCACACCTTCCAAGCTGCTAGGCAGAGAACCTTCGTCCTTTCAGCACTCTCCTAGTGTGGCAGAGAACCCTCTCGCTCTGTTCACACTCCTCCAAGTGGTGCGGCAGAGAAACCCTATCGGCCCTGTTCACACTCTCCAAGCTGTCAGCAGAGAAGAACCGGATCTCCTTGACAGGAATCTTCTCACACAGAATCTAGAAGGAAGAATAGAAAAAGACGTGAGAGAACTTCAATTTCACCAAGTAGAGGACTCTTATCCTAATACAATCCAAGTCTGAAGCTTCTCCGCATCCAAAGTCAGGTAGCGAATCCTTCATTTGACATGCACTCTCTTCCACTCTCTCCTTAGCTATTCTCCAAGACAGGCCACGAGACTCAAATGACAAAAAGAATTGACGAAGGGGTGGCAGTCTAAGTTGGACTACATTTACTAGAAAGACAAGTGGAAACCGCCCAAAAAACTTGAAGCATTTTTCAATTTCTCGTACGCAGTGGATTCTTCCATAGTACGATCCCTGGATCCTCCCTGGAGAATTTTTACCTTAACGATCTGAAAACGACCCAATTTGTATAATTGTGTACGAACTGAACTTTTCGACAGCTGACTCAGTCCTGTACGAACTTGTTCGTCCCGTACGAACACGAGTTATCTACAACGAGTCAGGTTCTAGAAACTGCTGAAAACTGTCTCTAAGTCGGATTTATCGTATGCAACGAAAATGTGATCGTCTGGACGAAACTTCTTCCAGAGAGCAGATCGTCTGCTGGACGATTACCTTTATTTTCGTCGGACCGAACAATTTTTCACAGAAAACCAATTGCCGCGGACGCGATCAATTTGCTATTTACGTCCTGAATGAAAATTAATCCAGAGAACCTCGATCGTCCATAGTACGGAATTTATCTCTCGATCTGCGACCGAAAATTTTTCCAGAGCACTCGGGTCAGCCTCGTACCGAATGGTAAAATTCGTCCTGGACAAAAGATTTAAATGCAGCTGAATCCCACTCGCCTGAGGCGGGGGGGGGGGTGGGGTGTGGGAACCTCCAATGATATATTTTTTTGGATATATTTCGATCACTCAGGACGAATTAGGACTTAGAAAATTTTACAAAGCAAGCTTCCTTATTGTTCCCAAGTGCTCATATAATGAGATAACTGACCACAGCATCGTCCATACGATATTAAATATCCAGATCCTGTAACGATCAAGTATAGAATTTCAAGATCTACCATTATTGTGTGGTGTCTGACGATTATTCACTCATGTACAATCACGTACCACATTATAATTCAAAATTAATATCACAAAGAAAAAGACATAACACAATCAACTTACAACAACAAATATACTCTCAAATGATGAATGAAATTGAAGTTTTCGTTAGATCTAGGGAGACTGAGATTTTCTGAAAATGTTAGTACACACATAAGTAGCAGTAAGCATAAAATCTTCTGAAAAACACTATGTTACCAGGAGGAATAAAAAATTTACATACCAACCTGATGACAATAAGTGTTTAGGAATCACAAAACTACATAAGTATGCACTAACCATCCATACTCAAATTCAAACTCAGCAACTATCAAAAATACATCTCCCCCATTTTTTTGATAGATGGCAAACATTATAATTAGCAATATCACGCGTTTACAAGTCATAAAAAACACACAAATCTAATATTATACTCACAAACTCCCACCCCAACCCTGACAATTTCACGACCAGAAATAACATTAAAAAAGACCACAAAGGATATACGCAAATTAAGAGAACAATACTTATATATAGAAAACGAACAAAAATTTTCCTATATGTTTTTCAAAATTTTAACACAAACTTATGCAACAAACGAACACCTCTCTCCCAATCTACCACGGGTTATTGCTTATTTCTTGGTGATAATCTTATCTCATGGTGTGTGAAGAAGAAACCTATTGTGGCACGCTCGTCCACGGAAGCTGAATATCGAGCATTAGCCACTGCTGCCACCGACATTATTTGGATCAGACGCTTGCTTGCTGACTTTCAGTTCTCTATTATAGCTCGTACTTCTCTCTATTATGATAATGTCTCAGCAATAGCGCTTGCCCATAATCCAGTATTTTATGCCCGAACTAAACACATATAAGTGGACTATCATTTCATATGGGATTGCATAAAATCTGCTTCAGTCAATGTGCACCATATTAGTTCCCTGGATCAAATAGCTCATATCTACACTAAGGTGCTTCCACGAATTCAATTCACCAATCTGCGCAACAAGCTTCTGGTCATCCGCTTGAGGGAGGCTGTTAACATACTCTGGCAGTAAGTTTACCAGAGCAAGTTCATTTTCACTACCGCACATGGCCATCACGTGCCTGGCAGACGCGCGCCCTCCTCGACATTCTGCAGGCGCCGTTCTTACCTTTCGGTTACAACAAATTAGCATATATACGTGTAATGTTGATTCAAGAAATACAGAGAAATGATAGAAGCCTAAAACCCATTCTCTGCCTCTGCATTTTCCAACCAAATTCCTCTGTGCTGTTAGTTGTTCTTTCTTGCAGGTTTAATAATATCAACATTTTAAAATAATTTTCTAAATCATTTTTTTCTTAATTTAATTCTCATGTGTGAGTGCTTGATTATTTTACATATATCATATTTCTAGCACATGCAAGAAGACTCAACAAATATAAAAGTACAACTCCTTGATTCCTCAGAAGTCTTCGTTCTCCTTGACGGTTTTAAATCCTTCTTGAATGTCCACTACTATCAGCTTACACTGCATGCACCTTCATTAGCTTGTGATTACCATCCAAATTATATGTCTAGTCTCATATCATCTTTCATGTACTATATGCCTGAAATGTTAGCATAAATAAAAGGTATGCTTACAAAAATTCATCCACCAACATTCAACAAAACTAATAATATTTGTAATCATCAAAATTTTAATAAGCCTATAAATTCTTGGGGCTTTACAAAATAAAATTACAAAATTTTCATTTGTCCTTTAAACTCCCAAAATATGGTTGGTTGAGCATATCACTCTTTTGGGAAAAAAAATAAAAATTCTAGCACTAAATCTTCAAGTGGATGACTAAGAGAAGATGGCATGGAGATAAGTTGTATTACAATATTCAATTTTACTTTTGGGATTACCAATATTGGATGGGATGACCACCTTGTCTTGAAAATGTCTCATTCCTTAAAAAAAAGTAAGCTTGCGTTGCAATTAATTGACCATGCCTTAATTCATTTTGAAATCACTTCATTCCTTAAAATATGAAATTTAATAATATGGCCATACATATTTTGGCTAAACTTTAGCTCCCCTAGCATGTTAAACATAGTTCCACTTTTAATACACTATGAAAATACATGTTACAATTTAAATTGAGAGTTTTTGCATGACTTAGCCCCCTATGGTGCAATTAACAATAAGATATTACTTCTATGAAGAATCCTAAATTTGAAATAAAGTAAATCCCATCTAATATTATTTATACCATCCACATATGAGAATATTTTGGTATATATATTGATTAATGTATTTGTCTTTTGAACACAATAAGAGACTCGGTGTTATATCTCTTGAGACAATATGATTTATTCCTTAGCAAAATATTTATAAGATGAATGCACATTTGATTATGTACTGATCCTGCAAAAGATTTATTTGCATATGTCGGGATAATATATACCATTCATTGTAAATGCTTCTTGTTTTACTCTTAACATTGGAATCTACAATACTCTTGACAAAATTTTCTAGCAAAAGTTTATAATCAATAGAAAATAACTTTGAGTGAGTTAAGTAGAGCAACGAGCAAGTACTCAAATTGAGTTAAAGATTAGTAAATCCGTTGGTTGAGTTTAACAACTTAGTGTTGATGACAACATAGACTTCGTTCGAGACCGCTTTTTTATTGATTTTTAAAATAATATTTTAGTACAAAATTTTTAATTTTTGTCCTAAAAAATTGCTTTTAAGAAGCAATAAGAAAGCCGTCCCAAACGAAGCCTTAGTGCTAAGGAAAAAGTTGTGGCTAACTTAGGCAACTAGTGTAGAATATAATTTTAGGTAATTTAAGATTTTGAGTCACTTTTGATTAATCAACTTCTAAACTATATAGGTAGTTCAAATCAGTTCACAATTAGTAATTTTAGGATCCAATTTAAAATCTAACTATAACTTGATTAACATAATCTCAAAATATAGATGCATATATCATTAAAATAGATTATATAGATATGCATTTCCCACTAAATATCCTAAAATAGCATGCAAATCTGAACATTTTATCATAATAAAGTTCTTTGCACAAAATTGGTGAGACATTCTAAAGCCGGTTCAACCAAACGTACCCAGCCAAAAAAAATTGAGAGCGCACGATGCCGGGCACGTACGAGAATTCGTCCATTGCACGCGCACCGCAGGCTGCCGTGCCAGCCCAAACATGCTGCCCGAATTGACCGGCCTCCTCCCGCAAGTACAACCTTCCTCTACGCCACTTGCGTGGTCGCTCAAATAACCTCCTCTTCACTCACCGTATCCATCGCTCAACGATCGCGGTTTTCACGACCGGAATCTCTCTGGAAGTCCCTTAATTTCGCCGTTCTTGTTCGCTCGCATTGATTCGTTTCCTTCAAATAGATAGGCCGTTATTCTCCAGCCGTGTTGCGAATTAGGGTTTTGGTGTTATTTATTTGCAGCGTCCTTCAGTGGATGGGCGGTGCCGCTGCGGATCTAGGGTTTCTCAATTTGGTGGCGCTTAGCTGGTTGACGTCCAAGGCTTGCGAGTTCTGCGGTCGGGAGGTAAGCGATTAGTCGAAAGGCGCGGAATTGATAGGCCTCGCGGCAGAAAGGCGAGGTATTGGAAACTGGAACTGTAAGAAAGATAAAAGGCTATATGCAAGGGTGGGATGGTGAGAAGTGAGAGCGGATGTGGCACATATGGACTGTCCCTACGATTGGTACTGAAGCAAGAGAGAAACAGGCTGTGATTCCACAACTACCAGCTCCACCAGCTCTTTCGATGCATTTATCACTCGATTTTTTCTCGAGGTACATTTTTTTTTACGCTCTCGATGTAACCAGCTCACTTAGCGGCGGCTATTTCGTTGGAGGGATTACGAGTTTATTGTACTTCAAATAAAGGAGTTTTAACTTTGTGAATGTTTATCGATTGTAAAATGAATTCATTGTATTTTTTTAAGGGTTTTGAAGCAATCAGTTCACTTTTGATGAATTTGAAATTTGCCCGGTTCGCATGAATTCCAAATACATTGCATTACATGACCTCGCCAGCTTAAAATCTCCTTGTAACCTCTCAGCATCCTGCCGCAACCTGGCCTCCGGACCTTTAAGCGACCTCTCTTGTCCTCATGACCACCGAACCGCGCTTGCGTCCTCCCATTGCTTCATGATGAGCTCTCCGCTTACAGGACCCCCACCCGACCTCATTGTGTCTCACGACGACCTCGCCACCTCCCCGTGCTTGAGCCTTCATCAGAGTCGGTTACGTTATTCCCTTTGGCACCATCCCGGTCCCTAAATTCTTAAAAAAAATGTTAAAAGAGTACAAAATATTAAATATTAAATTCGTTATACTTTCAACCAAACCCCAAAAATTAATTTTGTGCATGTTTTTATGACTAACCAAACAAATTTGTTTATCACAAATACATCTTATTTCCTCTACATTTTATTTAAAATACACATGAGTTCTAAATATTTGCAACCAAACAACCCCCTCAGCTGATAAGAGTTGGTGGACGAATGCAATACATGCTAATGATTGGCTGTTGGTTGTCTGGATTCTAGGATTCACGGTTATGAATTGCTGTTTTGATCTTGATTATGTATTGAGCATAACTTATTGGCTTTTTTTATCCTTTGGGAGCGTTTCGTGAGGCTTTCAATATTTATCGCTGATTTAAAATGTTTCTAGGTGGATCATATTGGAACATAACCTATGATGCATCAACACTTTTACTTAAAGGTGCTTGCAGTTTCCAACACGACACGTGTCCGACACACCTCCGACACGTGTCGGACACGCCTAAAACGTGTATGATTAAAAATATTAAAGATAAATTGGACATGTGTGTCTTAAATATTTTATGAATTTTTTTAATATAATTTCGTGTATTAAAATTTTTTTTATTTAAAATATAAAAATTAAATTTTTTATTTCCTCTTCACAACACCAAATCTATCTTCTGCATTCAATACCACATTAATCGAATATTCTCACTTTCATTTCTTTTTGGCGGGTCGTGACTTTGGTTTCACAAGAATGCCCGATGTCATCTTAACATAGACATTTCAAAACTATCTCAACATCAAAGTATGACACTCGACGCTTGCAATTTCTACACCCACAACATGACAATTCATCTTTGTCCAATGTCATCTTAACGTCAACGACCAATGCCCTCTCAACATTGATGACTTATGCCCTCTCGACATCGATGCCCAATACTTACTGCATAACATCAACGCCCGACTCTCGACATCATTGTCACCTCCTCTCTCGATACTTGATTCACCGTATTGACGCCTGACTCTTGACATCCTAATATTAATCATTTTAAGCATAAAATCTAGTTAAATGACTTATTATTTCTAAATTATTTTTAATATTATACTTATTCAATTTTTTATATACTATTTTTAAAATATAAAAATTATAATAGCGTGTTCAACCCATATCCATGCCTTATATTTTTAGTAATTAATGTGTCTGTGTCGTGCCGTCGCCGTGTCTATGTCTTAGCATCATAAAACATAACGTTAGGTGGATGTAATTATTTCTCTTTTGTGTTTTAATGGCAAGATTTTTCCGGGATGAAGAAGAAAATTTCTCTTTTAAAAGTTGATTTATATTATTTCTGATGTCTTATAAAGTGAATGAGCAAAACTTTAGAGACATGCCTGACTGGTGGAGTAGCTCTGTTCATCTTTTGCATTCTCTCTTTAGTGTATATCTTCTATTACTTTGTTGGCAATGTGTATTTGGGCCTGTGAATTCTTTGCTTTTCTTTAATTTTGGAGATTGGTTGCGAAAACCTCTTATAAGATTCATTAAGATACACTTCTACATGCAAAAACTAATATGTCATTGCATAAATTCGGCTTTATATAAAGGCAGTCTCGGAATTAACTATTTGCTGTATTTTTTTTTTCCGCATGTATTTCTGCAATTCATGGTTTTTAATGTGAAGATATTCATCCACTACTCTGAATAAGAGGAGTTGGACCTATTTTTTGTGGTCCTATGGTATTCAACGGTCCTCAATGTTCTATAACCTTTTTAGAGAAATGTGGAGAATAATTCTTGCCTCAAAAAAGGAAAAAAAAAAAAAAATCTGGCACACTTTTGTCTTCTTAAACCTACTTTGTTACGGTGGTTTTATTTTGGATCTGTGTCTTCTTATGATACTCTTCGTGATACTGTAATATTCATGCATTGGAATGTTATCAAATACATTTACTCAGCTCCTTTTTTTTCATTTGTATATGATGTATTTTTTTTCAACGTTTACTATTCTTTGAGAGGAAGAAACAATTTTTGTGGAAGATTTGTGGCAGAAAAATTTTCTTTTATCATCTTTTTCTTGGTTTGCTGATTGTTTGTTAGGTTGGTATGTCAGTTTTCTGGTTTTCTTTGGTTCTGACAGGTCTGGCGAGCGGGATGTTTAGCTTCTTTGACATGGATGCTATTGTTGAATGATTACGGATTTAAGATAGTATTCCACATTTATAATCTTATTTTATTAATGGTTGACCAATTTTATATAATTTGCAAATGTTTATTTTGAATTATATTTAGACAACAAGATTTGATCAGCATGAACTACTTTTCTCACAAGGAACACTAGATTAAAATTGTATTTATGCTAGGAGAATCACCCACTAGCCTTCCAATTGGGGTTTGAATTGGCTAGTAAGCGCATAAACGAGTGTCAATACTTTTGTGGATGCTGGTTCTTCTGATGGTGCAAATTCCTTTTTATATTTTAGCATTTTTTTTTTGCTTGCTTAATGTTGTTGGCGTTTACTGAAACCAGATCTTGGGTTCTCATTGTATAAATTTGGATGATTGACATCATAGGTTGGGATTTTGGGACCTGGTGTTTTAGTTATAATCAAATGAATGATGCGGCTAGGTAATTTTCTATGAGTTCAAGCTTGCTCTTTTATTGTTGGGCTTAAGAAGCTTTTACTGAAATATTATTGCTTCTGTTAAAACTACTTGCCTTGTACTTGCAGCTTCTAACAATTGATTGCATTTTGTGTGCTTCTATTCATTGGGTAGCATGCCTAGAAAGGCGGCTGAGCAAGAAGTTGAATGGGTTCGTACGTACAACAGATGCTACCCTCCACTATCTATTGATATATTATATCTATCTTCCCTTGATCACACATCCGTCTTAGTATTTTCATCTATACTACTTGCAATTTGCCCGCTGCTCACTTCTTAGTTTCGTCACACTGTTTTCTATGTAGCTTTTCTAGTCTACTTGCATTTTATAAAATTATATTTTAACTCATCATGTTATTATTTTATTGCATATACTCTTTTTATCACCCAACTTTAATTCTAAAGTTATGTTTGAATTCATATCTCATTATTATCTAAAAATTAATGCATCCTTATGACATTGGCCTATTTTGTTCAGGTGCGTTAGGAAGTAGTAGATCAGCTATTAGATAAGACAGCAATGCATGAAGCAGTGCAGTCTGGAGGGCACTCTCCAAAGCATTTGAATGTTCCATCATCAAATCAACAGTTGAAATCTGGTTCAGATAATTTACAGAACAGTGGGACTTCCTTTTCTTCTCAAGTTAAGGGAAAGAGGAGGGATAGAGGTGATCAAGTTACGGAGCTTGTCAAGCGAGAACGTACGTCAAAAATAGATGATGGTAATTCCACTGGTTGCAAGGTTGACAACAACATGATTAAATATGAGCTTTCCAAATTTTCAGAGAAAGGTGCCCTTAGATGTACTGATGGGGTTGAAAAGCTGTTTCAGTTGATGCAAGTTTACAATAGTAAGAAAATTGATCTTACTGGCAGAGTGCTCTTGGCAGATGTGATTGCTGCTACAGATACTATTGACTGCTTGAACAAGTTTATGCAGATCGGGGGTGTGACTGTTCTTGATGAATGGCTTCAGGAGGCACACAAAGGGAAGACCGTCGATGGGTATAGTCCCAAAGAGAATGATAAAACTGTTGAAGAGCTGTTGTTGGCATTGCTTCGGGCGCTAGATAAATTACCTGTAAATCTTCATGCGCTCCAGGCATGCAATATCGGCAAATCTGTGAATCATTTGCGTAGTCATAAGAATCTGGAGATCCAGAAGAGAGCTAGAAGCCTTGTGGACACATGGAAGAAAAGAGTTGATGCAGAAATGAAGCTGAGTGATGCAAAACCTGCTGGTAGTAGCCAAACTGTGACATGGCAGATCAAACCAGGTTTCTCTGAAGTTTCTCATGCAGGAAATCTGCGGAATGGATCTGGCGAGTTATCCATGAAGGGCTCGTATGGGAAGTCTGTTCCCACAGATTCTGCAAAATCGACCACGGTGATTGTGGGATCCGGGAAAGTACAATCATCTTCATTTGCACCTGTAGCAAATATATCAAAGGATTCTTTTTCCAAAGATGCTGTTAGTGATCTGCCCCAGATGCTAGCAGAGGAAAAGAGTTGCAGTTCCAGCCAGTCTCAAAACAATAGCCAGTCTTGTTCTAGTGATCATGGAAAGACTGTTGTCTCTTCCTTGAAGGAAGATGCTCGGAGCTCTACTGCAGGATCAGTGAGCAAGAACTTTAGTGGTTCATCTCGTAATCGAAGGTCAAGCAATGGGTTTATATCCAGCAATATTTCTGTCGGACAGAAAGAGTCAAATTCAGGCAAATCAGGCTTGCTTATTCGAAATACCATAAGTGAGAAGGTATCACAAGCTGGACTTTACTGTGACAGAGCAGCTGATGTGTCGCCTTCTGAGCATGGAAGCTGCGACAGAGTTATTGTTAAGCATCCTAATCCTGGTCGTAGTCCCGCTAGAAGCACTAGCGGAGGTTCCTTGGAAGACCTATCAGCTGGTAGCAGAACATCGTCCCCTGGTGTCTTGGATAAACGTGAGCATGTAGATCTTAAAGTAATTGTAAGGAATGATACTGGTCGAGCTCATATTGTTGCAGAGGTAAATGCTGAATCATGGCAGAGCAATAATGTTAAGGAGGGGCTTGTTGGATGTGATGAGGGTGATAGATTGTCAATGATTGTACCTGATGAAGAACAAAGGAATGAAGCTGAGAAGGTTATGGAAATTCCCAGAACTAAGTGCTCGTTATCTGGTAATGAGAAGTTTACTAGTGGTTCTGAACTTAAGAGGGGGGGTTCTTTTAGCTCCATGAATGCCTTGATTGAAAGCTGTGCTAAATATTCTGAAGCTACAACACCATTATTAGGAGATGATATTGGCATGAATTTACTTGCGAGTGCAGCTGCTGGAGAAATGCCCAAACATAACGTAGTATCTCCTGCGTCATCAGCAAAAGGTTCTCCTGCAGCAGAGGACCCCTTCTGTAGTACTAATGAGGCCAATGCGAGATTTTCGTCTGGGGTTGGATCCCGAAATCTCAGTCCATCTGATGAAAATACTGATTCAGAGAGACATGTGAATGATATTGTTTGTGTATTTGGAAAGGATGAAATACAAGTGGTGGCTGCAAATTGTCGAGGTGATAACAAAGTCGTGCAATAAATTAGGCTTTTCTCTCTCATGACAATTTTTTTTACCACTATGGAATTTGTTCAGTCTCATGAGAAAAAAAATTAAAGGTTGTGTGCTAATATTTATGTCGTCTTGCAGATGTAAAGGAAGAGTTGTCTAGAGAAGATGCAAGTCAGAGCAAGGGTGGCAGGACGATTGGTGGGTTTGTTGTGGAAGGTTTAGCAGATTGCAAATCTGTGGTAAGTAGTCCAGCAGATCATGTCAAGGCTAGCAGCTCTTGCCATGCTGAAACAAGCAAGTTTTCTTCTGATTCTGGATCTAAATCTTTGTTTCATGGCAATGACTGTGAGGTCTCTGCATCAGGAAAAGATGTCGAGAAGGTAGTGATTGTGGAATCATCTTTATGCCATCATTTTAACAAGGATTTACGTGTTGGTGCCATCTTAACAGAGCAAAAGTCACATTCTCTTGTGAAACCTGAAACAGGGGTGGTGGACAGAAGGGGTGATGGTGCGACTACTTCATCTGTTGCTGTTAAGGCTCCATACCTAGAAAGTGCAGATTTAATAAATAGTCAAAATCTTGATGGATTGGGTGATCAATGCCTAGAACAATCTGGAAGGAATGGATCAGCCATCCTCCCTTCAAACCATAGATCACATTGTGAATCTGCTTCAAGTCCTGGTAGTGTGGACAATGGTGCACAGATCGCTGAGAGAAAAGCTGTTCTAGAGAAGCATAATGCAGGTACTGATGGCCATGATCAACGGCCCACCATGCATGGGGAAATTGAGGCTTGTGCCACGATGTCTGCAGATGATGCAGAAACGAAGAAGGAACTTGTTGCCTCCTCAGTTGAGATTTCTTCATTTGTTGCTAACTCCAAGCAAGATGCAGGAGCTAAGCTTTACTTTGACTTAAATGAAGGCATACTCGGAGATGATGTGAACCAAACTGAGGCAATTTCCACATCTGCGCCTGATTGCTCCCCTGCACTAAGAATCTCCAATTTCTCATCTTATGCATCTTCACCCATGCGTTCGCCATCTCCTATAACAGTTGCTGCTCCAGCCAAAGGATTTTTTACGCCTCCTGAAATTTTGTTGAAGAATAGAGGGGATCTTGGATGGAAGGGTTCAGCCGCTACTAGTGCATTTCGTCCAGCAGAGCCTAGAAAGGTTTCGGAGATGTCGTTTAATTCTCCTGATGTGCATTCTTTTGACACTGCTGGGGTTAAGCAAGGCCGTTCTCTATTGGAGTTTGATCTTAATGTCCCTGACGAGAGAGCTCTTGAGGACATGGCTTCTCAGAAATCTGCTCAGACAACAGGTTCTGATTCGGGTATTATTAGTGACCATGCTGTATCTTCACGAGCTGCTGGAGGATTGGATTTTGATTTGAACAGACTTGATGAAGGAAACGAAGATGGTAAGTGTGTGGCAAGCATAAGTTGTCATTTTGAAGTACCGCTTTTGCATGCAAGACCTACAACAACAGGACTCCCTAATCGGGATGCTAATATGTTAAGGGACTTTGATCTAAATTGTGGGCCAGGCATTGATGATGTAGGTACAGAGCCTCTTTATAGAAATCAAATTTCAAAAAAGAGTAATAATATTCCATTTTTTCCTCCTAATGCTGGTCTTCGAATGAATAATACTGAAATTGGAAGTGGTTGGTTTCCCCCCTTTAGCTCCTATCCAGCTGTTGCGCTTCCACCATTCATGAATGATAGAGAGAAATCTTACCCAATTGTTGCAGCTTCAGGGGCCCAGAGGATTTTGGGGCCTATAACCGGTGCTGGAACTTTTGGAAGTGATATGTATCGAGGACCAGTCCTTTCATCCTCTCAAACCATGGCTTATTCACCTGCTGCCCCCACATGTTCTTATGCAGGCTTCCCATTTGGTGCTAGTTTTCCACCGGCCTCATCTTTCACTGCTGGTGCAACAAACTACGTTGATTCTTCATCTGGTGGCTGTTCGTACTTCCCTCACATCCCTTCACTTGTTAAAGCTACAGGTGGTGTCTCTTTTCCAAGGCCCTATATGATTAGTTATCCAGAAGGCAGTGCTTCTATTGGATCTGATGGTAGGAAATGGGCAAGGCAAAGTCTTGATCTGAATGCAGGTCCGGGATATGCAGTGGATGTTAAGGATGACAGATTACCTTCTTCAAGACAGCTGCATGCAACCGGCTCACAGAACTTCATGGATGAACAGGCAAGTCTACGTCTGGTGGCAGGCTGTGTGTCGAAGCAGAAGGAAATCAATGGAGGCTTGGAACCGGAGAGATTCACTTTTAAGCATCAGTCATGGCAGTAGTAATATAGAGGATGACATTTCATCCGTGATGCACGTGTCTGGTGAGTAGTGCTATAAGTAAATTAGTACACTTGATGAATAATTTCACATTCATTTATATAAGTATTATTCATGCTCATTTATTTAAATGATTGCGTAAATTTCAACAAAAGTTTGAAAACTCATATAAATTACCAAGATTGTTCATTTATATTTGTGAATATACTTGTTAATTATTTATCAATTATTGCTACAACTCAGATATCCTATTTTATGCTTATGATGCTTACTGTTTTAATTAGTATTCCAACTAGATAATAGTAGTTGCTTTCTTTTATTGTTAATTATTGCTTTCAATGGTGTGTGTATATATATATATCTCATCAAAAAATGTAGGATATTATCATCTTTATTCTCTGAATACAGTTTTTATTGATATTATACAAAACATTATATTGCAACCTTTTTTTTCTCCTTTGGTCCGTCCATATTGGTATCTGAGAGATGGTAAATGGTAGTGATTTCTCGTTCAGCGATGGCCATCATACCTTGGGAAACCATCAGAAAGCCCAATCCACCATCGAGTTAAGGTTAGAAGTTCTCTTCAACAACTTCTAGCATTTGTCCAAGAAATGTGGCAAGACCTTCAAAGCTTTTAGGAATAGCGGTGACTCCCTTCCGATAAGCACAGAGGAATTTGGCAACCTTACTAGTGAGACCAACAAAACTATTTTAGTGAATTGAGATTTGTGGTGACCCTGATAACTCAATATGTCGGTGCAAACCTATGTTGCACCGATACAGATATGACAACACAGACATGATACGAATATGAGACACATTAACTATTAAAAGTACAAGATACGGGTACGATGCGGACACAACATTATAATTTATAAATAATACATCAAAATTAAGAGAACAATTAAAGCATAATATTTAAAATGACAAAAAATATTAAAGCGACATCATATTTAATCTTGTAGCTTATAATATCAAAATAACAATAAGCAGAAAATGTTTAGTACAACATCAAAAATATAAACATAAACTGTCTAGTGCATGAAGTTTCAACTGTTCAGTGGAAGGAGTGAAGGGATTTGCTTCTTAAGGGATTTGTCTTTGGACTTCTATATCATCTTCAATAAATATCATTGCTTTCAATTTAGGCTCATCAAGTGAAAGATTAGAAATCTCCAATATTCCCATATCATCAAGGGACTCAAATCCATCTCCAGCAACATCCTGATAGGAAATAGTTGAGTTCACAAGTAATCCTAAGGTAATACTTGAGTTCGCAAGCAAACCTAGTCAAAATCAGCCCAAAACAGTGAGCAAAACTGCTGCCCCAGCAGTTTTACAGCAGCTCCGCAGCAGGAAATGCACCCAAACAGAGAAAAATACGGAAAAGAAACAAGGTTTCCACTAGTAGATGTAAGAAAAACAAAGGAAGATACAACGTTCTTCGATTCGAGAGGAAGAACAACTCTCCACAAGTCTCTAGCAAACCCTAGAGCCCAAGCACACAATGAGATCTCCAACTTTTCATTTAAATTCAAGATGAAAACCTAATTCCCCCCTTTCCCCCTCTTTAACTCTCATCCCCGTACAAAATCCCTAAATAGCCCTTCTATTCAAATTTCCCCCCCTTTCCATTCAAATTTTTCCTCCAACCCTTGAATTAAACTCCATGTGGGGCCCGCCTAGAGTAAGGACCGGAGGGGCCCGCCTAACAAATTGCTATTTAGTTATTTGTATTTTTAAAATCTTCAATTTGCCTTTTTCATTTTCTTCTTCTTCCAATCTTTTAGCCAAGGTAGCTAAAATATTTAATTTGACTTAATTGCTATTTAGTTAGAGGCTTTGTGACTGGCAGCACCGACACATCTCTTTGGACTGTTTACAACAGTGGCAGAAGGCATTATTGTGGGAATATTCTCCCTGATGGTGTGTCTAAGTTGCAAATCTTCTCTTTATGTTATGCTTAGGCTACATAAGTAAATCTATTACCTCTTATGCATTTCAGGTATGAAGAAAAATCAGAAGTTGCCTGCGAATATTCTCACACCTACAACCAAAGAAACAAATCATGATGTTCCGGTGTCTCCTGATGAGGTTTGTTGTGTTGACTGAAGCTTAATAAGTTGCAAGTTAAATAAGGATAAATTAGACCTCCGTCCTTGAGTACAGGGGGATTTCAAATTGGTATGCATTTTTTAGATTGTTTCACTTTGCTCTTTTTTTTTTGTCTTGCAAAGTGGTACCTTAAGTAAATCTATAGTCTTTACAAATATCCTTTCTAAGTTGAGAAAAAATATAATGTATCCTTTAACATCATTTCATGATGGTTAATGTGAAACATCTACAGTTACTTTTTGATCAAAGTTTTTATTTTGCTTTGTGTGCTTGTGTGTATAAGGGAGAGAGAGAGCGTGAACCCTTCTTTTTTTGTTGAGGGAGAGAAAGAAAATAGGGTGTATTTTTGGCATTCAAACTCAATTAATTATGCAGGTAAGGATATTAAAGTAAGAGAGGGATATTTGTGACACTTGAGAGTTTTTTAGCACTGTAATTAAGGGTCTTAATGAAGTAGACTTCTGTCAGCTAATTTTTTTGTCATTTCACCCTTAATAAAGTATATAGTTAATGATAGGACATTCTAAAAGAGCTTTGCATTTGCGGGCCATGTAATTGAAAAGATTTAATAAACATGAAATTATGTGAAGTATAAAGGTCATTTGTACCTCAGAGAGTGGACAAGTTAATCTTTAGTTGATATTCCTAAATTTTTTCATTAATTTTTCCTTCCATAGCAAGTTTCTTTGTACACGCATAAATTTTTTTTTTTAATCCGACAAGTGTTCACCATTTTGACACATATCGGACACTTTCATGTGTCAACGTACAACATGTGTTAGACATTGTATGCTAGTTTAACTCGGAGTGTTGGTGCATCCTAGGTTGAAACAAACTGACTTTAAGAGAAACTACTTGATACTTCCTTTTGTAATCATGAATATGGGTTACTCAATTAAGGGAAACCAACATAATCTTGCAGCTAAATTAGGATATTGCTATAGGCATAAGGTTGTGTTGGTAGTGCTTATTTCATGCTTTGTTTTTCGTAATGATATCCCCAATATCTAGGCATAGGAATCTTTGTGTAATGATAAGCCTGCGGAATGCGGGTTGGAGGGTTGTTTTTGTTAGAAGTACAGTAAGTTGCTTTGAGTTCAATTGATTATGTAATTTGATCTAAGATTTTGGCTGCATCACTTTGATCTTTTGAGATATACTCGATAACAATTTTGACACAAAAACCTGACACTGATCCTAGTGAGTTTTTTCTTTTTATTGTTATTGTTGGTTTGGCAAGATTGTTGCTGAGTTATCTTGAAATGTTTGCTAGTATATGGATTGTAGAAATACTTCCAAAGTACTGATATATAAAAAAGTATGAAATTATGTATATGTTTTTGCCTAAAACTCACGACCACCCCCACCACAATCATCATCCTCCTCCTCTATGACCTAATTCCATTTTTGCTGTTTCGGCTTAATGTATCCTTGGTGTCCTTTTATTTTAAATGCAGTCGTATTTTAACTCTATTTTCTGAAAATCCGGGCTTTGTATTTTGCCTTTTAAGTCTCTGAAGATGCCATGCCCAGTTGCATCAATTGATGTGTTACAGTTATGTTGCTTTAGGGTACCATAAGGCATAGCCAAAGTGGTGGATATGTTAAATGCTCCTGGTGCTCCTCGGATCGACTGTACACCAGTATGTCATCGAAGAAAACTAGTACAAACCTCTGCAGGTACGACTGAAACACCCTGTTCATCAAGGATTGGAAAGTGGCTGGAGCATTGGTAAGCCCAAATGGCATCACCAAGAACTCATAGTGCCCCTCGTGTGTCCTGAATGCCGTCTTCGGAATATCCTCCCCTTTCATCCTGATTTGGTGGTAGCCCGACTTCAAATCCATCTTAGAGAACACTACTGCTCCATACAGCTCATCCAGTAGCTCATCGATCACCGGAATGGGAAACTTATCCGGCACAGTTTCCTTATTCAATGCCCTGTAATCCACGCAGAATCTCCAGCTACCATCCTTCTTTTTGACCAGTAGTACAGGACTAGAGAAAGGACTCACACTTGGTCTGATGATCCCCGCGTCCAACATCTCCTTAATCAGCTTCTCGATCTCGTCCTTCTGAATTTGGGGGTAGCGATAGGGTCGCACACTAACTGGTGGCACCCCCTCATTCAGAATGATTGCATGCTCTTGTTCCCTGAGTGGTGGTAAGCCTTGAGGCGGTTGGAACACCTCATTGAACTGTTGTATGAGCGGTTGTACTGCCAGAGGAAGGCTTCCCTCATCCCCTACACTGACCCTCTCCAAGCGCTGCAGTTCCACCAAATATCCACCTCCCACCTCCTGTATGGTTCTGATCATGGATCTGAGAGACACGCCGGTGCCCTGCGTCGCCTTGGATCACCATCTTCTTTCCTTCCACCATTAACTCCATCCTCAAAGCACCCCAATTTACTTTGGTCTCCCCTAAGGTCTGCAGCCATTTCATCCCCAGGATGACATCAGTGCTCCCCAACTCCAAGGGAAGAAATTCTTCCCTCACCTGGATCCCCTGAATCATCAGCATTACTCCTCTACAAACTCCCCTTCCCATTTCTACCTTTCCTGTGCCCAACATCACTCCATAGCCGCCTGTATCCTCCAGTTTCACCCCCAGCAAGTCAACCATCTGAGTGGAGATGAAATTGTGGGTTGCCCCACTATCGATCAACACTATCACCTTTCTATCAGCCATCTCTCCCCTCACTTTCATAGTGTGATTTGGAGTGAATCCCACCACAGAATTTAGGGATACTTCTGCTACATCCAAATGTAGTTTCTCCTCATCCTCCATCTCTAACCCACTTCCACCTCCCTCCTCAGCTTCCTCGTCATCACAGACGGTGAGAACCTGAAGAGTTCGGTCCTTACACCTATGCCCTGGCATGTATTTCTCATCACATCTAAAACACAACCCTTTTGCCCTCTTCTCCTGTATCTCCTTCTCAGTTAGCCTTTTGAAATTTCCCCCTCCAGTTCTCTCTTTGGGTATTTCCCTCAACCCCCCTGTTGCCGGTGCCTTTGGAGCTAAGAAAGTAGTGGTCATCCTGGAAGATCCCCCAGAATTGCTTCCCCTAATCTCCTTTTCCAGATGCTTCTGGTCCTCCACCAGCTGAGCTAGCTCCATGGCCTCTCCAAGGTCTCGTGGTCTCATCATCCAAACTGCTGCCCGGATCTCTGCTTTCAGCCCCTTCATAAAGTTTCCTTCTAACACTGTCTCTGAGAGCCGATTCAGTCTGCTGGCCAGATACTCGAACCGGTCACGATACTCTGCCACCGTCCCTTCCTGTGTCAAGGCAAAAAATTACTCATAGAAGTCTCCTCCCCTGCTGGTTCGGAAGCGTTCTAGTAGATAGTCCTTGAACTCCCTCCAGGTGCGAATGGGTCGCCTCATGTCCCGCCATTGATACCATGCTAGAGCCTTCCCTTCTAAGCACAAGCCTGCAGCTGCCAACTTCTCCTCCTCAGTCAACCCATTGACTGTAAAGTATCTCTCCACCTTGTAGATCCAGCCATGTGCGTCTTCGCCCTCAAAGATGGGCATCTTCAATTTCCTCACTCTCGGGTCACTACCGTGTCCCCTAACTCCTCCATAACCTCCCATTCCTCTAGGAGGATTGCTCCTCAGTAGTCACGATCTTCCCTCCTACGATCATACCCGACCCCTTCATCATATTCCCCTCTTCTTCTTTCCAAATCAGCACCACGGCGGTAAGCATCGTCCCTCCTCCCAAAAAATTCTGCACCCTTCCTTTCATAGCCCATACTCATCTCCTCCCTAGAAAGAGGTTCTAGAGGAGGTATTCCGTCATCTCCCTCGAGGATCTCCACTTCCGGGTGCTCCCTCTCCCTTAATGGGTTCGGAATTCCTCCTCTTGAATGGCCGCCTGTGGCCTCCCTTGTTTCCAATATCGCCGGATTTTGTTTGTCTTCAAGCATCTTCTTCATCATATCCTCCAAAGCAGTGAACCTCCCATCCATCTTTTCATGAATGGAAGCGAATTGGTTGTGAAAATCAATGGTTCTTTCCTCCAAATCAGCCTTCAGTTGGCCTATTTCTCCCTCCAGTGCATCTACCTTTTTTCCGGCCATCTTCCCTCCAAGGTTTTACAAGAAGAACTTCTTGAGGAGGAAAGAAAAATTGCTGAAATTTTCAGATTTCAGCCTCCAACAGTCCCAAGACAACGCTTTAATACCAATTTGATAGGAAATACTTGAGTTCGCAAGTAACCCTAAGATAATACTTGAGTTCGCAAGCAAACCTAGTCCAAATCAGCCCAAAACAGTGAGCAAAACTGCTGCCCCAGCAGTTTTACAGCAGCTCCGCAGCAGGAAATGCACACAAACAGAGAAAAATACTGAAAAGAAACAAGGTTTCCACTAGTAGATGCAAGAAAAACAAAGGAAGATACAACGTTCTTCAATTCGAGAGGAAGAACAACTCTCCACAAGTCTCTAGCAAACCCTAGAGCCCAAGCACACAATGAGATCTCCAACTTTTCATTCAAATTCAAGATGAAAACCTAATTCCCCCCTTTCCCCCTCTTTAACTCTCACCCCCATACAAAATCCCTAAACAGCCCTTCTATTCAAATTCCCCCCCCCCCCTTTCCATTCAAATTTTCCCTCCTTGAATTAAACTCCATGTGGGGCCCGCCTAGAGTAAGTAAGGACTGGAGGGGCCCGCCTAACTCATCCCCTATCTTGTTATCTCTTTTCATATAAGTTGGAGTCTTTCTTGATAAAAGTTGAAGGTTTGTATGCACATAAATTAAATCTTCAACTCGTTGTGGAGTAATTTTGTTCCTCTTCATTGGTTGGATGGATTATGTGCTCTAATTTCTTTCACAACAAGAGGATGAAACCTGACCAAGAAGTTTTATGACGATTGTTTGAAGTAGAGGTGCAGAAGCTGCATGAATCAACCATCATATCTTTCGATCCATTATCCACTTATCATGTAAAGACTTTTGGTCACTAAAGTCTTCTAAATAACCAAAAAAATTACTAAGCTCTATATTGAAAATTCTTCTCTTCTCATTTGAAAAATAGTGCTTCGAACATGTCTTTCTCATATTTGCTATTTCTAAATCTTTCTGTGGAGAAATTCGTTGAGGATCCTCTTGAAGCCATTTTTTACTTGAATATCTTTAAGCAAAATAAAATAAGATAAGATAATTATTAAGTCAATTGAGTATACCATCCTTAAGTCGACCATTAACAAGATAATATGCAGTAAAAATATGTTGCTTATTATAAAAAAAACATTGTTAATACAATCTTAAAACCTTATACGACATCAGTTGCAATAAAAATTGAGTGATAATCAAAAGATAAAGTTGAGATAGCGTACCTTGCTCGCGTACCATCCTTCGGTGTCGGCTGCTTGTGTAAACAAAAAATCCTTCAGCTTTAATTGCTTGCGTAAATGAAAAATACAAGCGTAACCTAGCCCTCTGTTCTCGGAAATGGCCTTCCCTGCTCGCATACCTCCTTCGGCATTGGCTGCTTGCATAAATGAAAAATACATGTGTAACCTTAGCCCCTGCTTGCGGAAATGGCTTTCCCTACTCATGTACCCTCCTTCGGCGTCCTACTTGCGTACCCTCCTTCAGCGTCAGCTATTGTCTAAACAAAAGTACAAGCGAAGCCCTAGCCCACTGCTCGTAGAAATGAATAAGCGAATACGTGCGGCTGCTTGTTTTATTCAATTAATTTTTTTCATTATTTAATAGGATAGGTGTGTTCGGTATCCTTTTTAAATTAAATTTAAATTAAATATTATTTTAATGGGATACACCCTTACCTTATCGAACACATATTTGAGCTGTATCGGGTGCGTATCCGTGTTCGATACAAGTTTGATACTGCACGCCTTCATAAATAGGTGTATTGGTGTATCATAGGTGCAAACAAATCTACTTGGATTTCACGACATTGACTGCCGACATGGCTGGTCTATTTTTTATTTTATTTTATTTTATTTTATTTCGACTCTAATGTTGAATGGATGTTCAATTCGATTTATGGGTTAGTTTTGGGTCTGATAACAAAATGACATGATACAAATATAATCAACTTAAACTTAATTTGTTTATTAAACTAGTCAAAAATATCCCAATCATAACCCACACGACATTACACAACATTTAAGTTGTGGTAGGTTAGTGTTGATCTAACACAAAATGAGCGCAATTATCTAATTTGGACATCTAAAAAAACTTCATAAGAAATTTTCAATTAAAAAACAGCTGAACAATTATGTTATATTTTTTGGCTTGACCTGAAACTGGTCCAATTTTATTTCAAAGTCACTTAATTTGATCTGGATTTTATACCACCTGACCTGAAATTGAAATTTATTGCTCAAGTTTTAGTCGAATTTTCAATATTGACACTTAAATTTTAGAATCTCCCTATTGAGGGCATCATCTGCAAGAAATGTTTCTAAATGGTTTTAAGGTTAAATTAGATATTCCCTTTTTCGTTGTTCACTTTACATTGAGAACTATCTGGATCGGTAAAAAGTTATGGAAGCTTATGTTCCACAAGAAAAGAAAATATGTTGCATGCAAATTAAAGGGAGTCGATGCTTTGTAACTCTCAACCAACAACCTCACGATCAGAGAGGTAAAGATAACTTAAAAAAATGTTATCAATTGACGCGGCTACTAGTTGAACACTTCCATCCAATCAAGAACAAATATTGTATCTCCAATACCAATGATGCTTCTCAAAGGACTTGTTCTATTAGCAGCTACGCAATGGAATGTTACCTCCTCAATGCATGGAACAATCTAAATGAGTCTATACAATATCTGGTGGTTTGTTTTGTTAAAGGTGTGAAAGACATCATTCAAGAGCAGCCTAAATGAATTCTGTATGGAAAATCTTGTATGCAGTTAACTTTGCATACAAGGCCAAGAGTATATGTAATTGTTAGCCTAAATCAATTTCATTATGATACCAATACATTGAACATAATAGTGAAGTCTCAGAGGTAGTTTTGTCCCCCAAAATTGACTGTCCTTCAATTCCAATCCCAAACTCAACAACAAACTCTTGCTCCTAAGAATGTCTACCTGAATGTACACACACACAGCCCCTTTAAATGCTTATGCTGTTTTTAGCCGGCCACTGATTTAACGAGTGTCTAAATCAACGACAATTGCAACTGCTGGACAACAAGCAAGAGTGAGACAACCCATATGACTTACCCATAATGAATGATGAATTTGAAGATGTTTCAAGAGATGATGGTGAATTCCTATATTTTGTTCTTGAGAAAGTGATGCTATCCTTTAAGCAATTAGTGGCCACACAACGCCATGCTATATTCAAAATAACACATAAGTCTGTGAACTTCTCGTGGGTAGGGTGTTGTACTTAAAATGTCATCTCTAGTAATATGCTTAAGTCTTTACAATTGAAAATTCCTAAACATCCGTATCATTACAAAAGCAATTGAATCAAAAAGGGTATCGAGGTTCTTATTAGTCTTATGTGTGAGGTAACATTCTCTATTGGTAAAAATTTTGTTTCTGAAGCTTTTTGTGTTGTTTTGAAAATGGATGTTATATAATTTTGGCTCGACTTTAACATTTGATATGTTTAGAAATGGATGTTGCAACAATTGACAGCTATTTTCCTTTTAAAATTTTCGAACTAGCTACCTCTTGCCCTGAACATTCAACATCACATCTGCCACATACTTGGATCTATTATCCCTAAGTTAACGCATTATAAAATGAACTCTTAAGAAACGTATTATATTGCAAGACACTGTCAACAATTTTTCACACATTCAAGTCCCTTGACATAGCCTTAGTCCATTTGTAGTTCCTGTACTAGTCCCCAAAAAAAAAAAATGAAAAAGGGTGGATGTGTATTGAAAGTCGCACTATAAATAAAATCATAGTTAAATATTACTTCCCTATGATCCTATTAAAAGATTTCCTCAATAAGCTATATGGTGCAACCACCTTTGCCAAATTAGATCTCCATAATGGCTATTATCAAATCTGGCTATTAGAAGGTGACTAGTGGAAGATGGCATTTAAAACTTGTGAGGGGTTGTATGAGGGGCACATCATGCTATTTGGACTATGCAACACATCCAGTAGCTTTATACTGTTAATGAATGAGTTATTAAACTCTTCTTTGGACATTTTTGTTCGATCTATTAATGATGTTTTAGTGGTCAACACTGCTATGACCGACCACCTATGCCTCAATTTACTTTTAATTTCTTTGCAAGAAAATAAACTCTACATCAATCTTCCATAGTGTGAATTAGCTGCTTCCCTTCTTTGCTTTCTTAATTGACGCAATGGCATACACAACTACCCTTTGAAGATGGAAGCAATTTGCTCTTGGCCCACTCCAACTCCACTCACTAATATCCATAATTTTCATGGGCTCACAAGCTCTAACCATCAGTTTACTAAGGGGTTTAGCATTATGATGAAACCAATTAATGATTGTCTTAAAAATATTTTAGTTGGGATTGAACTCAACAGTAAAGCTTTGCTGAGAACAAAGACCATCCATCTATGTTCCTGTCGTGCTTGGCAATCCAGATATTGAAAAGTAATTCCAAGTTGAAGTTGATGCTTGACTTTGGTATTGGTGCAATCCTCACATAAGAAGGAAAAAAATCATTTTTTTTGCCAAAAAAATTATCACCATATATCCAATGTTTAAAATTGTACAATTGGGTATTCAGGCATTTTTTTGTTCATGAGGCAAGGCATAGCCTTAAGGTGTTTTGAGGCATAAACCTCAAAATCCAAAAATTATGTTTAGTGAAAATAACGATTAAAAGTAATTTTTATCTAATACTCAAATAATACTCAAATAATATGTTAAAAGATTGATATATTAACTTTTTATTGAACATTTGAACTATGAAATAATAAATTGATATACATACGAAACAAAAAATTGCACAAGACGGAAAGTGATAAGTAATAAATTACGTGGAATAGAATTGAAATCTAAATATTTTAAAAGTAAAATAACATAAAATATGAGAATTGCATAAAAGTATCATATAACAAGAAGTTCAACTTCAAATTCCTTCTCCGTTTCCTCACTCATCTATGTTTAATTTCTAAAGAAAGCTAAAATAATTAGTAACAACTTAGACTACTTCTACATTGTCATCACTGAGGTCTTTATTTGAGTCTTCGTCATAGCAAATTGATCTCTCCCCTGCCTCATCCTGTAAAGTTCAATGTCTCGCAATCTACTTGTTTATTTATTTCGGTCATATTCCTCTTTCATGAATGTTTGTCATCAACATAAAAATGAGATTAATACTCCAAAAATTTTAGAGGAGGTGGTGGTGGTGCTATGAGGCTTCCAAGTGGTCCTTGGTGGCAGCTACGATGATGGTGGCTGTGGCGAAGGTGGCAGGTTGAAGGTCAAATTAGTCGAGCTCCTGCGGTTTGTGAGTGCATGAAGGTGTGTTTTGTTCGGGGCTTTAATTTAGGATTTAGGTAAGTTTTAATAAAAAAAATATATTTCTCACGCCAATGAGGTGAGGTGCATGCGCCTTAGCCAATCTGAATCACACTCATAAAAAACTCGAGATGTTTTTTACTGGAATTGCACTGTGGCGGGCTTCTAGGTGAGCCTCGTTGTGTAATTTTAAACAATACACATAACAAGAATGGTCTTACTATGCACAATAATTATATATGGTTATTTGAGCCTTTGAGAAATGGGAATGTTACTGACTAAATTATGAGTTCATGTTATTCAACATCAATCACTCCAATTTCTACATTCTTAGAAAAATCCAAGTCACATGCATATTTGGCGGGTCATGTTCTTGTAAAAATTCATGTTCGTTCTGAAGTATAAAGTCGGAAATAGAAACCAAGTAGCTGCTGTGCTAAGCGGACTAGCTAGCATGTTGGTCACTTTGTCGACAAAGATTACCTGACTGGAAGAGCTTTGGGATCTTTATTGTATGCTCCAGTTGGCAAATTTTCCATCGAACAGGGCTACCTTCTTTAAAACTAATCAACTTTGCATATCAAATACTTATCTCAAGCAGCAGATGATTAAATAAATGCATGTTGGTGGGTTAGCTGCACATAGACAAAACCCTTGTTCTTTTGCAAGCTCAAGTCATCTTGTTGAATTGAACAGAAAAAAAAGGCTCGAATCTTCTTGCCCAAATGTGGATTTGTTATACGTTATGCGGAGAAATGCATACTTGCCAAATGTACAAAAATTACTTCTCAAAATATAGATTTTTATTCCGTTTTACTAATTCTTTGATTCAATTTGGAAGGACTTTAGCTTTGACTGTTTTCTTGGGATATCACAAACCCACCACAATATTGATTCTATTATGGTCATTGATCACTTCTTCAAGATGGGCTCATTTCATGCCATGCAAAAAACTTTTGACGCCATCATTTTTGCTAAAATTTTTCTTAACTGATATTGTGTTAGAATTGTGAATATTGGACCCGACCCGAAAACCCGACCCGAACCCAACACGAAAATTTCGGGTTTGGGTTGACCCTAACCCGAAGCGGGTCGGGTTCGGGTTCAGAAAATTGATCCGTTTGCAAAACTGGGTCGGGTTGACCCGGAAACCCGCGAATGACCCGGGAATGACCCGAATCTACCCGACTGCGAGTCTGCGACCCGCCTGCCCCCACACGCGCCGCTCGCGTCGCGTCGCTCGCGACCTCGCGTCGAGTCGCAGTTGCTCACGTCGTGTCGCGTCGCTTCCTTGCCGTCATCGCCGTCGTTGCCTCGCCGCCGTTGCACGCTGCTGGTCTGCCGACGCTGCCTCTCCCACGTCGCCGCTGTTGCTGCCGCTGCACGCTGCTAGCCTCGCCGCCGCTGCACGCTACCGGCATCGCCGTCGCTGCCTCGCGTGCTGGAACTCAAGAAAATCAAACCAACGCGGGTCGGGTCGGGTTGACCCGAACCCGAAGAGGGTCGGGTTCGGGTCCAGAAAATCGACCCGTTTGCAAAAACGGGTCGGGTTGACCCGAACCCGAATAGTGCCGGGTCAGTTCCGGGTTCGACCCGAACCCGACCCATGACCCGAAATTGACAGGTCTATATTGTGTGCGTTTGCATGGTCTCCTTTGTAACATAACCTCTGATTGTGATGCCGAATGCATTAGCTATTTTTGGTGTGAATTTTGGAGGACCTACTAATTGAACTTGAGCAACCCAAGCAATGAGATGAAATATGGGGCAAGCTGAATTCGCATATAACTCTGCCCAATTGATCAAGTGAGAAGAGTTCGTTCTGCGTTTTTTACACAAATTTACCAGATTATACAATAGACTTTGTTGTTCTTTTGAAGTCATAAGAAAGTCTGCTATTGAATTAGCTACTAGTTTTGACGAGATGCTTACAAGGACAAAAATAAATTAATTGCTTCTACAAACTAAAAAGAAACAACTGACACTTAGTCCATTTTAATTAGCAAAATAAATTAATGATAATGATGCTATTTCTCTTTCATCTGATTTAAATATCTCATCCACCTTACCGAATTCATATGTAACTCTATGCCCAATTGATCAAGTGGGAAGAGTTCGTGCCACATTTTGTACACAAATTTACCTAATAATGCAGTAGACTTTATTCTTGTTTTGAAGCCATGAAGCAAGTTTGCCATTGAATTAGCTACTAGTTTTGACGAGATGCTTCAGGAGGTTAAAAATAAATTAATTGCTTCTACAAACTATAAAGAAACAATTGATGCTTAGCTATTCTCAATAGCAAAGTGAATTAATGATAATACTTATGCTATTTCTCTGTTATATGATTTAAATATCTTTAATATTGCCAAATTTGCTTATCACCACCCATGAATTAAGGACCTACACAATTCATCAAACTTGAGTTGAGGTATTTTGAAGAGGAAGGGAATTGATGCAACTCACTGAGCACCACTATTTGTCAATCCTTATTTTTTGCTTTTGGTTTCTTTTTTCATTAGTATTTCATAATTAACTATTAGTGGATAATAGTAGTTACTTTCTTTGAATGTATGCATGTATGTATCCAATAGTTTTTTAAGAACTCGATAAAATACTCATTTAATGATGTCCTAATTGCTTATTTGACAACGTATTTTATGTTATTATATCAATTTTTTATATCTTATGTTCGAGTATTTTGGTTTATTAGTAGAGGCATAAATTGATGACCGTTTCAATAAATAGTTATGCGTGTGACTAATTTTTTTTTAATATTTGAATTTCAATAAATAACTTAAATAATACTTTGTATATTATTCCCATTTTGATTAAAATCATTAAATCCAATTATGTCTAATAATAAGACTATTATTTAAATCATTAGCATAAAAACATAATTATGTAAGCTCCATTAAAGTTCAATTGCGAATCAAAATCATTAATGGGCTGTTTAGTTGGCTGAAAATTGAATGCAGTGTATTTAAATGCTTTGGAGTTATTTGAATGTGTAAAATAAATGCGGGGAATCACTTTTTTTTTTTTAATTTGTCTTGAAGTAAAATCAAGGTAGTGTAAAGTGTGATTGGTGGCAGCCGGCGGTGGCGGTCAGTGGTGGCGGTTAGTGGTGATGGTGGTGGCTATCAGTGGCGGGGGGAGGGGGATGTAGGCGGTGGCAGTGGCCAACGGTGGTGTCGGGCGGAAGAGGGTGGTGATGATTGCTGGCGACATCACACGATGATGTTCTAGTGTATTTGGATATCGCCCAAATATGAGGATTCCAAATACACAAAATGAACTAGAGGATGGATTTCAAATACATCAAAATTTTATGCTGCATTTGGTTTGCTTCAAACCAAACACCAAATTCTCCAAACTCTTGCATTTGGAATATTTCACACCCCTTTTACTTTAAACCAAACAGCCCCCTAAGAAAATTACTTAATAGTTTTGATCAAGGTTTTAAAACTCGGGTCATGTTTAAGCTCAACCCAAATTCGATAAGAAAATAAATAAATGAGTTTGAACAATATAATTTTTTGACTCAACTTGGTTCATTTGGCTCGTATTGCATGTTCTAATAACATGTTGTTCCATTCTACTGCGCTAGATGAGTTTTAGCTTGACTTGCAGGCTCAAGGCGTTTGACCAATCAAATTTGCTTCCGTGCTAAATTATTTCCACCAACCTGTAGCAGTCCATGTTTGGCTCTAGGGAGATATGGAGCTCATTCAGATGGAATGCTTGACTTAATACATGTAATTGTTGGGGTAGCATGCTTTCCTTGTAATGGACTTCCCATGGATTGCAGTTTTCTTGCTTTGTTGCATCGTGTAATGCTCCATCAGCCTCGGTAAAGCTCAAGGATGGGCATCTGCGGCTGGTGTACAGAAGGTAAGCTGATCATTCTCTCAATTCTTCCTCCAAGTTATAGGATTCAGCTTTCTGAACTTTTCTATATGTTAAAATTTTTTGGCCAGAATTGTTCCTGCTGATGAGTTTCCTTGTAGAAAAACTTTAGACTTTCTTGTCTGAGTTTTTTTCTCCAGTCACCTGCAACTTACCAACAGGGAAATGTTGGTTGGGTACTTGAGCTATCAGGAACATTTTCATTGGCACAAGACTTGACATTTTTTGATCATATTGTATGAACTGCCCAAAACAAGAGAATATTGTTTATATTTATAGATTAGGTTCCTTGCTAAATTTTGTTTTTGATATTCCTTTGTGGGCTTATATGAGCAGAAGACTATGCTCATATGGTTTTTATTGTGGTCATTCTGAGTATTGCATATTGGTATCCTTCTCATGTTTTTAGAGTTGAGTAGTTTGTATACAAATATTGCTTTTTGGTATGATGGCTGTTTTCATGTGAAGGTATATAACTCATTCGGCCTTTATTACTAACTATTTTTTACAATAATTGAGACCATGCGAGACATGTTCTTGTTGTGAAGCTCTCAAGTTTGCTTTCCCGTTTTAATCAACTGACCAATCTCCTAAGTTGCTATGAATCAGAAGCATGAATGTGCCGTTTTTGTGCCTGGTCTCTATTAACCAAATGTTGTTGTTATTATTGTTATCATTATTATTATTATTATTACAGAATATATTTGCATTGAGTTTGTAGGTTAAGTATGGTTGAAGGCCTTACCTTCAGAGTTGTGATTCAGTTTTCCGAAGGGACAAACGGCCATCAATGATTTCCAGAGGAGCAACAGGACGTTATAAAAAACCACTTGAGATTCCTTGGAGTAGTAGAACTGATAGAGCATGGAAAATTTCAACATTTATCAACACTAGAAAGTTTCTTTGTCTAATATTTTGATTACCCCTTCTGTTAGTAGAATATTATATTTTTCATGGTTTCTTTGCAACATAACCTTTTAATTTGAATTATCCTTTTCTTAGTAGACTGATTTTCTTCTTCAGGGTTGCTTGTCAACTTGACGTGACCTTCTCAATAAAAGTGTATGTTTTGTTTAATCGGTTACCTTTTTCTTCATCTCTAATCTTGTTATTGAATTCTTTTTATTGCATTGATTTCATTGTCATATATGAAAGTTGAATAATGAATTTTTAAAATTTATATATGGAATTCACGCACAAAATTTTTCATCAGGTCTTGTTTTTTTGAAGCCACTCAGTCAAGTATGACGTTTATCCATTACTTTTTAACAATTACTTGCGTCTCAAAGGTGTAGGAGTAATGCCAAGATAATGCTACAGAGAAGTTGGCACAAATTTATAGTTTGGTTTTAACATCAATAGCCTTAGACAAATCTGTAGCACGTTTGTCAATATTACCCATAGTCTAGTGGCAGTACTGAACTTATCCATGATATTATTAAGGCATGTGATAGAGAGGAGATTGGCTTTACTAAAAAGTATAAGATCATCAATATAAATAAGATGAGAGGTAATATTACTATTGTTAATAGTATCTTTATAATCATAGAGGCCATAGTGAGTATGAAGAGAAGCATTCTATATCGAAGGTGAAGGGAAAAGGAGATGATGGACAACCTTGAGGCTGCTTAAAGAAATTGAAAAATGTCCTCTTAACTCCTTATTAAAGATCATAGGGAATAAATTATTGAAGGTGTAGGCAATGGTCCATTTGATGAGCGTATAAGGAAAGCCTAAAATTCTTAATCTATGGTAAAGAAATTATATATTAACATCATCGAATGCTTTTTTCATATCAATTTTAGGACACTAATGTTTAGGAGTGTCAAATGAGTTAAAATCATGCAGAATCTCATATTATATGCAATATTTTTACCATCATTAAAATCAGACTGAGCTAGATGAATACGCTTCATAAGTAGAAGCTCAAGTCTTCCAACAAGAGGTTTGGCAATAATTTTATAAATGTTATTAAAAAAGAGTTTGGTATGTAATAATTAAGAGATTCAATATGGGAGCTTTTGTTCATCAAAATAATAATAGCGTGTTTAACTAAATCATGATGCTTAGAAGAGGAGAAAAAGTATTGTAACTGTTTAATCAAAGATGTATCGTAATATTCCAAGTATTCTTAAAAAATTTAGAGAGAAAACCATATTGTCTAGGAGTTTTTCCATTCCCAATAATGAAAAGTGCTCAATAATGAAAAGTGCTTATCTGATATATTCATTAGTAAATTTACTAGTAAGATACTAGTATTATTCATTAGAGGAGAATGCATAGGCAATAGGTAGGTCCCACATAGAGGTGGTGGGGCTATTCTTGCAATTGAGGCGAGGCAATATCATATTGAGAGCTTTAAGTAACATAGTGAAAAGAATGCTTTTTAATGTAATTATTATTCTCGCTATTCTTGATTTTTAGATAAAGAATTTAATGTGATCCCAGCCCTTTAGAAAGCTAGGAGCATTTAGCATGTTTGATCTATTTGTTCTCACAAATGGTAGCATTAATCAAAGTCTTTTGAGTGTTGATGACTTTATTAAGAAGTTTATAGCTGCGGGATCTGTTGATCTATGTAGTAGAAAAAAAAATTAAAATACAAACGCATATCTTCTCAAATCCTCCTACGCCCATCCCCTATTTCCCGCCGAAGATCCCGTTGCTACAGTACCCCATGCTCTGTTATTCGACAGCTCGGCGCTGAATTTTCCTATATCCTGCTCTGCAAGCCGCGATTCCTGCTCAAATCCCGCTCGGTCGCTTCATTCACGTTAATAAAATGAGAGCCAAATGGCTCTCTATTTCCTTCTTCACCTCCCCCCGAAATCGAACCCCACTCAGCTACTTCAACCTTCCTCTCTCAGCCAAATCGCAAGAAGCTTTGACCCAATCTTCTCTTCCAATCTCCATCTCCTATAACCCTATCTCCTCAAATCGAAGCCGCTAGTCCTCTTGCAACCTTCAACCTCCCACCCCACGAAGCCGTCAAACTTCTTCCATGTACCAAACCTCTTCCTTGTCCGACTCTATAGCTGAAGGCCCTTACCTCTTATTCCTTCATTCATTCCAATCAACCAAACCAGATCTCCTCCTTGCGCAGCTCCCCATCTTGTTTCCCTTTGAAGTCGAGACCCGACGCCTCATCCTCCCCATTCGATCTCCTGCTTTGGTGATTCCCTAAGCCGTAAGCCACAACAGCCCGAACCTGTCTGTATTGCCGACCTCCATAAGCCTGTAGCCCTATCTGACCAAATCCTGTGACTAAATCCCCATAGCTGGCTTGGCCTCTTATCCCGATATCCTTCCCAAGCCGCATACACCTCTCAATCTACTTCCATAACCTGTCTTCTCTTCCAAATTGAGCAAACCCACACCATTTCCCTTAGACCCGATTGAACTCTGATAGATATGATCATCTCTCCTCCCCTATTAAGCTTTATTAGTATTAAATAATTCCCATAATTATCATTAAGATCCTAATTATTATCAAATTTATTATTATTATTATTACTATTACTAGTTATTGTTAGTAACTACTAGTTATTAATATTGATAATATTATTAATATTTGTTATGAGTATTATACTTATTATTAGTATTATTAACATATATGTTGAATGTGTGTGTGAGAGGAAATACAAAAAAAAGAAAAAAGTGTATAGTTAAAGTAAAAAGAAGAAAATGAGAAAATAGAAAAAAAAAGAAAAAAAAATAGAGTTCAAAAAATAAGAGAGGAAAAAGAGAAATAAAAAAAATGATAAAAAATGTTGATTTTGTGCCCTCCATCATAGTCATTGTTGCCAGTCCTCGCATAGGTATAACCCTTAAACTCAAAACCCCGCATTCAGCATTTGTGTCAAACCAGAAAATCGCTCATACATGCTTTTCTCTAGCATTGTGGGAAGGGAACTCGGTGCAACGCCTACGATGAGGCGGGGAAATTTCGCACATACTTTTCTCTAGCGCGGTGGGGACAAAAGATGAAATTGCATTTTTTTTAAATAGGTGCCTGACGACCCATACACACCTTTCTCTAGTGTGATGAGATTGAAGACTTTTTTGCCGTAGTGTCACTCGAATCCTACCATACATGCTTTTCTCTAGCGTGGCGGGAGGTCCAGACTCCTAAAATTTTTCCTAAATGGGGGAGACGCTAGGAGGCTGTCGAAATTCAGAACAACATAGAGGACTAAACTTGCAAACTTTTTAACAAATAGAGACATAATTTGAATAGAATTTGGACAGCAGGGGACTTAATTTGGACATCAGGGAACTTAGACTTAACCTTAAATCTGAACAAAACTCAAATGATTAACAAAAAACTTGAATGAACATAAGCATAATTAATTAAACTTGAATTGGATAAGGCTTGAATATAAGTTTGATATGGGAGCAATAAAGGATTTCAAAATGTTAAAGAATTGCCATTTCAATTTGAATGCAAATGTTAATTAGAAGATGTTATTCAAGCCCCATACAAACAAATAAAGATGCTTGTACTTTGACATGGAATTTTTTCTTGGACAATAACATTCAAATGATAATCTCGATTGAGATAGATATATCACTGAATAGGATAACAATTCATAAAGAAAATTGCAGATTATCCTCAAAGATGAAGAACTTGCAAATTCAATATGTTTGTAAGTAACAAGAAGGATATGAAAAGGATATGCCTCAGTTTCAAAAAAAAAAAATATATATATATATATAGCATATCACAATTATAAACAAACAAAAGAAACAATCATGAAGGAGAAATTGATTGTCACCAACAACAATCGACGGGTGGACTACTGCATCAATTTGATTAAACTAAACCACCTACGAATGTACTAAGCCTATGAAAGTGATGATAGCAAGTGTAAGCATACACCTACAACATCACTTGCAAACAATTATAGAAAGATCATCATGACAAGCAGTGGATATTACAACGTCCCTGTAGTCAACTACCACTCAGCATTAAGTAAATACACCAGTATTTTGCAAGCAAAAGTTGAGGATACATAACAATTTTAGACGCATACTAATGGTGATGAGCATTCACCACAAATGCAAAAATCATCCACAAACACTGAATGTCAAAATATAGCGGGCATAGTAGGTTGTCTACGATGCTTGCAGGAAAGTCAACGGTGAATACACCATGCCCATACAAGTGAATACATATGATGTGTAGCAAATGCAAACCCCTACGGGTCGCCATAGAAGACCCGACAAACATTCAATATATCCCTTGTGAGCAAATGCATAAGGATTACAACAAATTCAAATACCTATGGTCCTTAGCAGGTGAGCCTCCATATACACTACATGTCATCTACAAGCAGAAATGCATAAAGGACTATAACGAATACATAAGAGATTTCGGCAGATGCAACATCCTACATTTAGCATCAATTTGCAAGTGAACACAATGACACTCGTAAGTAAAATATACTGATCCGTTGCAATTAGAGACAGAAGATATGCAACAAATGTAAGCTTAAGCAGGTCGTTGTAGAAGACCTATCATGC